TTGGACAATATTACCCCTAGATCAAATAAAGCATTAAAAATATATTAAAATACTTAAGATAAAATTTATATTGTTAAGAATTTTCATATATTCTTTTTTTAATTTTATCTTTGGGGTTCCATAAAATGGGGCGACAAATGCAGAATTCCTTACTTGATCTACGGAGCCTTCAAAAGCTTCCAATTATCACACATTTGTATAGGATTGTTCTATTGTACTGGGTCTTGGGCCCTCCTTTCTTGGTTGTATTGTTAAGGCCCATTAGACTAGAAGCCCTATTTAAGGGTTGGGTCTGTTGTGCTCTAGTATGGACTTTCTTTTTTTAGATCATGATGAAAGTATTATTCAGCCGCGCAAATCTCATGATTTTTTTTTTTTGGTTAAAGTATAGGTATCCTCTTATTAGAGGCAATCCTATTCAAGACACTATCAAGTACTAAATGTGGGGGCCTTTCTCTACACTGATTCAAATCTTGATTTTTCATATTGTGAGAAACTAACCCCCTTCTCTAGACCCAATCCTGTTGGTAAACCTGGTAATGTTATTATAGCATCAGAGCACACTGGTCAAGGTCCATCAGTAATACCTCAAGAAGCCCAATAAGACAAGCCCATTTCTTTCAATAGGAGAATCAAGGATCAAGGAGCATTATTTCGAAGAAAGGTTCTTACTTGTTCTGCTGCTCACCACCGTCTCAAGAAACGCACAAAGTTCGTCGCTAAGAAAAGGGGAGAGTGAAGAGAAAGAAGAAAGATAGTTGAGGTCAATAATGGCGGCAGAGTTGCAGAAAAGCTTGAAAGCTTGTTGTGTCAAGTATGAGTGTGGTCTTAGTAATGTTACTTTTATAATAGATTTTTCAGGATGATCATTAGCAAGATAAATGGAAAATACTGATATTCGCGTATTGATGCTCTTACTGTTACTGCCATAGGGTTAATAAATCAAAGCTCTAAGGTCAAAAGGAAACTTACGGATTTTAATTCAAATTAGAACCTTTTTTTTTCTTGACAAAACAAAAAACCACCCACAGCACACACCAAAAGCTTAGCTTGCTTTAGGCTGTTGGACTTAGAGTTTGATGGCAAAAACGTGCTCAAGCCTCATTGTTTTTTGAATATAAGCTGAATGAAATTATAAGTGAGATCACCAACAAGTGTTTCATCCTCATAAAAAGGGTTTTTGGTTGTTTAACCAAAAAGTCTTAAGTCTGTATGAATGCAAAAGAGTTATTTGGGAGGCATACATTTAACTGGATAAGATAATGCTCGAATCTGATCTAGATTAAGCTTAATCTAATAATAATGTCATTAAGCCTTAATGCTATCAACAACTCATAATACTTTTTTTAAATTCTTAAAATAAAAGTAAAAAAATAACAAAAATATTGTAGTAAATAGATAAACAAGAATAGTCATTGAATCTTTGATAACTCCTAATACATTTTTCTGAATTTTTAAAATAAAAATAATCAATAATAAAACTAAAATAGTCTAAAACTTAATAAAAATAATCAATAACTAAATAAGAACAAAACCACCTTGGACACTCTTTTAGTGGGTACCCTCAGTTGTCCTCCAATTACCTCCCTCATTTCATCTCATGCGCGTTGAATTATATAATATGCCTCCGGTCTTAAATATAAAACATATTTTATAGTGTAAATTATGCTAAGTTTTATATTTAGAACCAGAAGTAACGTATTGTTTCCCATCGTACCGTAAAACGCATTGACAACTGAATTTCTACGTTCATTCAAACATGGACAGCTAGTCAGCCTTCACTCCTACGGTAGCATTGAATACAGTCGGTGACAGCCACTCGTGTGTTGGTGAGACAGGAACAAGCGTCGCCAATTAATGGCTTAGGGATGAGGCAAAGCTGCGAGTTGGTGAAATGATTCTTCAAGCTAAATCTATATAATTGAGAATGGCCAAACAGAATAATCGTAAAATTCCGAAGCCAATGGTCGCATCACACCCGAGCGTGGACAATGGCGTCAGAGAGTGACACATCCAGGTCCCAATACCATTAAGTTGAACATTGACGTTGGGCTTCGCGAGAAAAGGTCTTCACTTCACTTTCACTCCATCCCCACATCTACTTTAGATCTGAAGGGAGGAATGGGAAGATAGAAATTAGAAAGTGGAGGAAAAGGGAGCAGAGAGACCTCTTCTGTACGGCCCACCTTGCCCCCCGGTTGGAGTGCTCAGGAAACATTCTAAATGGGGAAAAATTTGCAGGGCCAGTTTTATCTTCTTGTTTTTTTTTTTTATCGGAGGCACTTTTTCTTCCATTCCTTTGCCCCCGACGCTCCATCAAAAAATGGGAAATAATTGAGGACACGTGTCACGCATCCATTGAACCAAGGTCCATCATATTCATGCTCATCTATTGGGTCTCTTCTCATGCATGATTCAACCCGACACAACAGATATGTTCTGATTTTTTTGTTTTCTCTTAATTATACAGATATGTTCTCTATTTTGAATGTCCAAACCATTAACGGTTTCAAGAATATTCTGAAAAGATTTTTAAATATAAGTGGTATTTGGATTATTTTTGGGAAAAAATCAAATTAGGGTTCTTAAGGGTATAATTCGGCCATGACTTATTCTTGGGGAAATCTTGGTGCATCCGAAGTTTCATTCCCTTTTCTTTGCTTCCCCTCTTAGAGATTGGGGTGAAATCCAACCTTCAGAAAAGTATAGGCAAGAATTCTTCTCTAGAATGAGATTTGGTTTGGGGTGTTGCCATTTGGAAGCTGTGGACTTGGCTCAACTATTCAATCTTCAACATTGATTTTGCGAAACCAAAAATCCTGATTTAATTATCAATCACTCTTGGAAACTGTATGTGGACACTCCCCCCATCGGGGTGGATTAAAGTCAACGCCGATGGCGCTATGGTATCAACTTCAAATCGAGCAAGCTGTGGGGGAGTCATCAGAGACCACAATGGGAGTTGGATTGCTGGGTTTGCCTATGCACTGGGAACCTGTTCAGCTCTTGAATCTGTAAAGTTGGGCTTTGCCCTCTCCCATACCAAAAAACAAAATTGATTTGGATTCGTTTAGATTTGGATCCAACTTATCTCTTGTTAAATCCTTTCATATCGTTCCATTGATCCCAAGCGTGCAACAATTTATCAAAATTAATTATTTTAATCAGTACCTTTTTATCATCTTAAAGAAATGATATTTCTCAAATTTAAGGTGATTACATAAGAAATATATTAGTGCGATAAACACATTATATATCTTACTCTTTTAATAATCCCTCTCTTGTCATGTTTATTCCTTGTTATTTCAGCAGGCTTATTTTATCTTCGAGGATAAATTTAGAAATAGCTAAGAATAGCTTACTTCCCAACAACAACTTCATTGATTTTTTTTTAATGCCAATCCCATTGTATTCCGTCCAAAATAAAATACTCCGATTCTTAATATAATATTTTAATAACTAATTTGAAAAAAATTAAAAAAATAGACTGAGTTAGTTATTTATAACAAATATGTGTTGATTTCCTTAAATTTCTTTTATTTAATCATAGATATTAAAACTACACTTGGCTGGGAATACTTTATAATCAAAAAAGATATTTTTCAGAACATATTATAAATTTGTGAGATAAAATAAATTAAAATCTTATATTTAAGACTGTTAACCAATTCTTATATTTAAAATAGGAAATAACAGGGTTCCGGTTTTTTCGCCGGGGGGTCATGCCAATTTCCGTTATGGGCCAAACCCAACCCACTTCGCTTAGACTGAATCTTTCTGGTCACCGGTTAGCACAAGGATAAGGTCGTCATTGCCGGCAATGGCATGGAAGGGGTTGACTGACGATGATGAACATAGACACAGGTCAATGCTTTGCTTTCTAATTTTCCACTCGTTTATTCCGTAGCCTTTTCCAATTATCTTTGGAAAATTTTGGCCAAAAACATTATCTGTGAGAAAATAGAGTCTTTAAAAATTGAAAAATACACCCCATCAAGAAAAAATCTTCTTTTAATAGAGACAGAAAGATTATCCAAAAGGCACGTTAGTTGTGGAAAATAAGAAGGTTTCCTAAAATCTTCCCCATGGGACCCAAGTTGATGGCATGACCGGAATACCACATTTTAAAAAATTATTCATTTGAAATTAAACTAAACGTATTTTTTTAATAATCAGGTGAAATTTTGAGGTGAATTTTACTATTCATCATGTAAAAATATAGTGGATTTATTATAACTTTTATAATATATACTGACATTGACATATTGATTAATGATTTATCTGCACGTCAATTTATATGTTCGAGAAAAAGATACGTCTAATGATTTTTTAAAGTTTTCAAAAGGAGCCAGAAAGCATAAGTTTAACTTCATTTACTTTAGGCGTCTGAAGGATTTGGTGGAGGGAAAAAGTGGAGTCAGTGGAGACTAATAACGAAGAGTAAGAAAATTGTGGGAAACCATAATAGACTTGATGCCTGTTAACGGTGAGCGTGTATTACTGGTGATCGCTGAGATAAGGCAACGGTTTTATCTATAATTCATGAGTTTTTATTACTTATTAGCTTTATTGCCATAATATGTAGCTTAAATCTGATTATTTTATATTTGGATATGTTCTTAGCTCCCTCCCTCTCGTTGATCTTTAATTTTAATTTATTAGTTTTTTTCAATTGCTTAAGCTTTTGTCGTTTAGGCTACAGGAGGTCGCCCCCACAACAACGTAAGAAATTTGTGACGATCAATTTTACTTGATTTGCAAAGATTGATGCGTATGGTTCTCTTTCGTCTTATTGCTCTTTATTTTTGCGGACAATATCATTCTTCTTATCCGGTCATTGGCGCAAATTAAAGTGTCATAAGGTAAGGACAGACTTGCCGTGGCAAAGCTTTCTGCTCTGGAGAATGGAAATCATGTGCAAATTAATTTCCGTTCTGTGAGAGCTCGCTTCACTTTGATTTACTTGAACATTAACCTGTGTAGAAGCATTCACGAACAAGATGGATATGCCATTTCTGAAACTGCTATCCCATTTTCTGCTTCTCACCTTCTTGAATTTCGCTTCTGCTTCTGAAGCAGACATCCCTGCTTACTATGGCCACAACTGCACAAGGAATAAAAACTTCACTTCCAATAGCCCCTACCAGTTCCACCTTATCACTCTTTTAATTTCCTTCTATTCTATGGCCGCCGGCACTAACACCACTCCTGAATTCAACACCACTAGCTTTGGCGGCGCAAACACGAACGACGCCGTATATGGAGAGTACATGTGCCGAGGTGACGTCCCCACTCAGATCTGTCAAGATTGCGTTCAGGACGCCACAAATAGAATAGCCTCGATGTGTCCCCACGACAAAGAGGCAATCATCTGGTACGACGAGTGCTTCCTCCGCTATTCCGACCGCTCTTTCTTCTCCACCCTCCAACAACAGCCTGTTCAGCCTGTTCCTAGTGCGCCAAGCGTCATGTGTCCGTCTAAGGCATCTTATTCATCATGCTTACCATCACACATCCAAATCGGAAGTGGAACAGATAAGACAGACAAGGAATTGAACAAGACATTGAATGATGCGGTGGTGGAGGCAGTGACATCAGATACCAAGAAATTCGCAACAAAAGAAGCAAGCTTGAGTACTGGAGGATCGGTATACACTCTTGCAGAGTGCACGCCGGATCTGTCCCCACAATTCTGTGGTGATTGTCTGCATGGCCTGATAGAAGATATTCTGAAGAAGAAGGACTACCAGAGTGGTGGATTTCAGAATCCGAGCTGCAATTTGAGATTCGAAAGATACCGATTTTATTATAAGGGCAACCAGCCTCCCTCCGGTGGTTCTACCTTTCAAGGTAACGTTACCATGTCCCCCCCCCCCCTCCCCTTTCTATGCACGAGTTGATAATTTGGCTATTTTTATAAGCGGCCAAAAACCATGTAGAAGAAGAAAAGACTTCCTTCGTCGCTGGATTAATACTCCCACATATTTGATTTTGCTCTGATTTAAGTTTTATGCATGTTATGTTGTTCTTTCTGTGAGATACTTCATAATTTTTGTACATAAATTTCAAAAAACACAATAAAGTAAAAGTGTAAAATAAATTTATTTTTATATATTCATTAATGATTAGTATAATATATATATAAAAGAAAACAAAAAAAATGATATATATATATATATAGTAGTTGATTTCTTGTTTATTTATTTTTAACTGTTTCCCAAATATGTTTAAGAATTAAAAATATTTCGATGTATATACTTTTTTTTTTTTTGAAGAGTTGGTTTTTCAAGGGACAATTATATCCAATGAAATCCATCCTTCAGGACAGAACTTGCAGCTTCTCTTTCTAAAGAGGTTGGATGATGTTATTGTGATACCATGCCGTTGGTTATTTGTAAAGTTCTCAAATTAAATTAACAATTGAAAATTCATATTGTTGTCCCGACTCCTAAAAGTCCAGAAAGCTTTTCCATATGTTTCCTTTGTCACCCCCTTTTTTCAGCCTCCTACTTCGACATCAAAGCTATAAATTTAATTTTTTAATTCCTCAATACATTCTTAGCGTTAGTTTTTTCTTTGTCATAAAAATGGCACAATCCATTGCCCTCTATAATTTTTTTCCTTGGGATTGATTATGTATGTTCGTTCAAATTAAAGGTTATATACACGCTCGCTTTTAATAGTTGTCACTAATTTGCACTTATAAAAAAAATTCAAGGACTAAAGTCAAAGGAGATACGTTTTTGCCAATTTATTTTTTAGTTAACTTTTCCTATTTTTAAATTGAAGATGTGATTGAATTTTTAAGAAATAATTATCCAATTAAAGTGAGAGTTAACAAAAAAAAAAATTTGTTCACCTTTCGAAAAACAAAAACAACAATTTACTCGTAATTAAAGTACAATGATGTTTCCTTACTTATTGAAGTATTAATTGGGTATTTATGAATAGTACATCAAGCCCATGACATAGTCATAAACATTTTGTTTCTTTTATTGAAAAGGGCTTGGAAGTCCTACTCTTGCAGATTCGAACTGCCCGACCACCGAAAGTTTTACTGCCAACGATCCCTACCTAAACAACCTCAAAAGTCTCACTCTCGAGCTCTCCATGTCATCCAATGACACCAAAAGCAATGGATTCCACAGCACCACAGTCGGAAACAATTCCGACACTACCGTCTACGGCCTCTTCATGTGTCGGGGTGACGTGCCCCTCGGGCTCTGTCATGAGTGCGTCAGTAACGGAATTGAGGAACTGGATTCTACGTGTCCCTCTTCGAAGGAGGCTATCATTTGGTATGACATGTGCATGCTTCGCTACTCCGATCGCTCTTTCTTCTCTACCCAAGACACACAACCTATATATGCAAAAGCTGGTGAGGATATGCTTGGAAACCAAACAGATGGCTTCAATAATTTATTAGCTGCTACATTGAGTGATCTATTGAAGACGATATCAAACTCACCGCCCGTAGGAGCGAAGAATTTTGCAACAAAAAAAGAAGTCAGCACTTTAGAGCTTAAAACGTTGTATACTCTTGCACAATGTACTCCAAACCTGTCTAGCCAAGATTGCCAAAAATGTCTACAGGATGCTCAGGAACATATGACGTCATGTTGTCTTGGAAAGCAAGGAGGAAATGTCATGAGTCCTAGCTGCAACTTGAGGTTTGAATCGTACCGATTTTATGATGACAGTATGCCTCCTGCATATCCCCCGACTCCCGAAGTTCACATTTCGGGAAATACAGGTAAAGTGATTGGGGATCTAATTAATCATTTTCCTCACGGACATAGTTCACTGCATATAAATTGACATTCCTAGTTTGCTTGCAATTTTCTACATACAAATCTGCTCCATTTCTTGTCTATGGCATGCAAATACACACGTGTTAATTTACGCAGGAAAAGATCAGGACCACTCACGAACAATTATAACAGCGGTGTCCCTTACTGCTGTCTCAATCATGCTTTTTTGTTTCGGCGTCTATTACTGGAAGAGAAAAAAGAGCAACAGTTATAAGGCAATTCTGAAGAAAAATTGTATGTATGCTGTTTTTTCTCAGAAAAAGGAAAGAAAAAAAGACGAATCAGTCGACTGTGAGAAAAACTATATTATTGCGGTGTACTTAACTTAAAATGTACATATGTTTATAGTCGGAGCTGAAGGAGCCACATTAGAGTCATTGCAATTCAATTTGGCAACAATTGAAGCTGCAACAGATAAGTTCTCACTTGAAAATAGAATAGGCAAAGGTGGATTTGGAGAAGTCTACATGGTAAATTGATTATGCGATCAAACATGTCTGTTTATGTATATTGTTGATTGTACATAAAGAGACCGCCTACTATATTATGAAAATAGATTGTCAGCCCCTCATTATCTAACTATATTATGATTTCAGGGCATTCTTCCCGATGGTAGCAAAATAGCTGTAAAGAGATTGTCAGAAAAATCAAGTCAGGGCTTATTGGAGTTCAAGAATGAGGTTTTACTAATTGCCAAACTTCAACACAGAAACTTGGTTGCATTATTAGGATTTTGCTTGAAAGATCAAGAGAAAATACTTGTCTATGAATACGTTCCTAACAAGAGCCTCGATTATTTTTTATTTGGTTGTCCCTTCTAATCAAACTGTTCTTACCATTTTTCAATTTTCCATTCATGTATGATCCATTCCTTTTATTACTCTAAGGTGAATATATATTTATTGTATAATCTGTAATTTGATTTTAGACATAAATATATACATCGTGGTTCAATTGTATGCTCACAAACTAATTTAATTATTTATAGGTTCACAAAAGTCAAGAGTGTTAAATTGGCCAGAGCGTCACAAAATTATAGGAGGAATTGCTCGAGGAGTTCTTTATCTTCATGAATACTCACGCATTAAAATAATACATCGAGATCTCAAACCTAGCAATATTTTGTTAGATGATGAGATGAATCCGAAAATTTCTGATTTTGGAATGGCGAGAATTGTTGGCATTAATGAAACTAGGGGAAACACGAATAGAATTGTTGGAACATTGTAAGTTCTCTATCTCTATGGTCTTGTCTCTCTCTCTATATGTATATGTGTGCGCTTATGTATGTATCTTAGTTTTTTATGTATATTTTGCATGTGCACTTTAATTTTCTATTGAATCTAAATATTGATGCAAGACTTTGCTCAAATTATGTGGTGCTAAACTTCCAACATACATTAATACAATTATGTGTGATTTTTTTTTTGTAGGGGTTACATGTCTCCAGAATATATCAAATTTGGATTATTTTCTGAGAAATCAGATGTTTACAGCTTTGGAGTCATTGTTTTAGAAATTATAAGTGGAAAGAATATATCTTCTCAATGTGAATCACATGAATCTCAATATGTTGGTGGACTCCTAAGCGATGTAAGTATAGTAAACTTTTAGTGTTTCTCAAATGATCATCTCAAACTGGTCATTGTCGTTGTCATCATAAGCATCAACCAACCATTGGAGCTTATGTTAACAAAAATCTATAATCAAATTAGTAGCATGCCCTATTTTAAACTAATGATTTAACATAATGGCAGGCTTGGAAGCATTGGAGGGATGACAATTTGATAGCGATATTGGATTCGAATTTGACAGAAGCCGGGTCACATAGTGAAATAATCAAATGCATCCATATTGGCTTGCTGTGTGTTCAAGGAAATCCAGGAGTTAGGCCTTCCATGAACAAAGCTGTTCAATATCTGAGTAATGATTCAATTCAGTTGCCAATTCCTCAAGAACCAGCATTCTTCATCCATAGTCAAATGGGACCAGCGGAAAGCAGTAGGTCAATGGAGGCTCAACTTGCCAACCATAATCAATATTCCATCAATGAAATGTCGGAGAATATAATATCTCCTCGCTAGATCACAGGAGACTTCAACTTTTGTTTTTCTCTGCTTGAGAATTGAAGGTTTAGAATTTTTTCTCTTATTGCATAACAAGCGTGGCTTTATTTTTAAAACATGCTTGCAATGACAATTTGATTATTTTAGACTTGGTTTGCTTTCTGGCCCATCTTTCCTTTGTCTGCCGTCTATTAAGAGGTCATGGCTCTCTAACCTTCTTTCAACTAAAGGGATTAACATTTGCTTCAATTGGATCCATTAGCAGGCTTCAACCATCCAACAAAACAATACAAACTATGAAAGTTAAAGTTGATGAACTAGGGCCAAAATATTAACAATTAATCATAAATCTATAATTTTAGTACAAGTATCAACTATGCATATGTTCCTATCATAAATACTTTTAAATATACATTAATTCACCAAAAAGTATAATAACTAAGGGAAGACATGATGAAATAACATGAATTTCACAAGGTTATATAGCAAAGGCTCTATCTTTGTATGTGGGCAATACTTCAATCTTGTAGATACCAAACTGAGCAATTGAAGTTTAGGAAAAAGAATAAATAAAAGCCTTGTCCTCGGGAGTAAAAGAATTCACTCGACAACACTTCATTTCAGAGCATGATTCTTTAGTTCCAAGTCAGTTGGTAAGTTCCAGATTTGACAATGCCATAAAAAAGCATGTTTCTGTGGAACTAACAATTAAATTGAATCATCGCTAAGATCTATATAAAATAAAACAATTCTTGTTGAAACTAGTTTCAATAATCATTATCGTGATGAATACTATAATGCGCATCAAATCTCAACTATTCAAATTTAATATGAGTGGCTAAAATTTAATTTTTTATATCTTTGTTTTTAAAAAAGTTTTCCTTTAATAGATAGATGATTCAAAATAAACGTAATTTTTCAACTATAATTTTTTTAAAAATAATTTCTTGATTTAAAAATTATTAGTTAAAAATTTTAAATCTAGACCATTAAAACTATATATGAATGGTAGATTTTACTATAACGATGAGTATCTCAATATTCACCACTATGATGAGCGCCAAGACTGGTTCTAATTGTAACCATACACAAAGGCTTGATTTGCATCTGGATTTTCTTGAATAGAAAACAACTTGATGCAAAAGGATGCACTTAATCACTTCATTACATTATCTGAATTCATTATTTATGCTTGAATCTAATATCTCTATCAGCTTTATCCTACCCCCACTGATTACAAGTTTGTAACAATTAAGTAAAACAAATTATTATAATAATCTCCCTTTCATTATTAATTGCCATGTATGTTGAATATCCAGAATAATACCTGTACATTGCATACTTTGAAAACATATAAACATTGAAAAAGAAAAATATTAATAACAACATTTTTATACAATACATAATAAGAACATTAATTGGGACATTCAATGATTAGTTGAGATGTAAATTATTGAATCTCTTCTTATGAACACTTATTTTTCTTCATTTAACTCAACTATATCAAAACAGACACTATAAGGAAAAAAAAAGACTTTAGGCAATGACTTTCGGCGGCAACAAAAAAAGTCGCAACTGAAAGTCCACTTTCAGCAGCGACACCAAAAAGTCGCCGCTGAAAGTCTTAATTTCAGCGGTGAACTTTCAGCAGTGATTAAAAAAGTCGCCGCTAAAAGTTTACTTTTTTCAGCGGCGACTTCTTTTGTTGTCGCTGAAAGTGTAATATAATAATATATATTTTATTTTACAATATTAATAAACAAATTCAATCTAGCTCAGTGACAAGAAGATTGGATACGAAAGGAGGTGGTCACGAGTTCGAATCTTGAAGAAGATACATTTAAGGTGAAAATATTTGGACGATGGCCTGGCGGGGAGGAGTGATGTGGCGCAGTGACGTGGAGGTGGCTAGTGATGATGTGGCGGCCAGCGGTGATGATGTGGCATTGGTGAAGCCAATTCTTCTTAAGCATTACTTTCAGTGGTCCTTTAGCGGTGACAAGAATGTCACCGTCGAAAGTGTCTTTCAACGGCGACATTCTTCTCGCCGTCGAAAGTGTTTTTAGCGGTGTCTTTCAGCAGTGACATTTCTAAAAGTCGCCACTGAAAGTTTTCAGCCACGGCTGCTACAGCAACGACTTTTTAGCGGTAACAAGTCACCCCTGAAAACTTTCAGTAGCAACTTTTATACTTTCAGTGGTGACTTTTTGTCACCGCTGAAAATCAATCTTTTTGTAGTGAGATGTAGAGCTTAAAGAGAAAAGATTTAGAACTATGTACCAACTATTTTATTTGCACTTCCTTCATTTGTGATGATAGCAACCATTTTAGCTAAGCCAACATATGATATTTTTGGATTCACTTTATCATCTAATAAAATATTGCTTGGTTTGATATCATGATGTATAATTTTAAGATAGGAATATTCATTGATAAAAAAAAATTTCTTGAGCAACTCCTGCAATGATTTTACAAGGCTCTACCCAGTTTAGTGCTTTGCCTTTTTGGAAACCTGTACATTAATTGTTGCGAGTGATTATATATAGAGACAAAATAAAGGTAATCTAATTATAGACAATTAACTCCACCATACATCAGATAGCGTGAACAACAAATTTCAGTAAGAGTTAAAGAAGGTATAGATTGTCAAAACAAATAAAAGTTAGTCAAGGTTCCGAACATATTCATAAACAAGGATTTTCTCTTGTTCTTCTATGCAAAATCCAAGCAAGGCCACCAAGTTTATGTGCTGAAGTTTGGCAATCAATAAAATCTCGTTCTTGAATTCTTCTCCACCTTGACCAGAATTTTTTGAAAGTCTCTTGACAGCTAATTCTTGACCATTTGAAAGAACACCCTAGAACCATAGATGATTAGATTAAAAGTTAAGAAACATATATAAATGCGTTCGTGTGTCTATGTGTAACGTTTATACCGATGACATGTGTTACCTTGTAAACCTGTCCAAATCCACCTTGGCCTAAACATTTTTCATGAAAAAACTTATTTGTTGCAGCTTCAATAGTGGCCAAACCAAATTGTAGAGGCTCTAAATTATGGCTTTCATTTCCAACTAGACACACAGAAAATAGTAAAGGATGCTGAAAGTAATAAAAGCATCGATACAAAAGCTCTTTAGACAAACCGAATTTTATGGATAAATAAAAATTTGTCCGAGAACAAAAATTACTTACAGTATTTTGTCTGAGAAGAGCGTTGCGTCTCTTCCTGATTAGATTCTTTGAGAGATAGTAGGCGACACAAAAAAAAAATTCCCAGACCACCAACAGAAGAAACCACAAGTACCATAATAGTCCCTGTTGACTGACCTCTCCCTTTTACTGCGAAAAGTCAAAAGCATCATATACTTCCACGTCTCAATGTAATGACATCATATGAAAATTGACTGTATCCCGTAAGACCAGGGGATCATATTCACATTCTGATTGGATTCAATTTTCCTCAGCTGTCATGTTAATTTTTGAAAATTTATTTTGATGCCAAAATCAGCGTAATCTTTTTCTTTAATCGACGTACCCAGATATGCATTTTAAAATAAAAATCAGAAAAGCGTATTAGGTACTCAGCAAACAAAAAAAATGTTTAAGTTGAATTTTACCTTGAGGATCTGAAGAACTTGTTGGAGGAGAAAGTGCAGGCAGTGTAGGCGCTGTCGCTTCTGGCTGATCATCAGACTTACAAAAAGGATATAACTCATAGCGAACGTTGCAACCCATAGAACTCTTCCTCCTTGTTTTCCCAAACAGCACCATGTTGAAAGGTCTCCAATCACAGCACTCAGACAAATTCTGCAATCTTGGGATGATAGGTCCTGCGTGCACCGAAGTAGAGAATACATTGTTCCGAACCCAGATATGCTTGCTTCCCTTGTGGCATATTCCTTAGTGCGGTTAGCTGCTTCATGTTTAAGCGTGCTCAACAATATCTGCAAGAAGCTCAGGTGGGACACTTCGCCGGTGTTCAAGAGGCGCAGTGTAGGCCTTGTTTCGACGGTGGAGAACAAGGGATGGTTCGAATAGCGAACCATGCACTCGTCGTACCAGATTATTGCCTCCTTCGAAGTTCTGCACTCGGAAGATAATCTTTGGGTGGCGGTAAAGATGTATTGTTTCAGCTTTGCTTTTATCTATTCTTTCCCAACACCCTTTGCTTCTCCACTTTTCCATCGTTTCTGTAAAATTTTCCAATTTCAGTTGAAAAATGAACCTCGAAACTCATTGGAAAAACCTACCGGGCCGGGGTTGTGCACGGATTCTCTTTAGAGACAGCAAGGTCATTTACTTTGTAAACTCTTGTTTATTTAATGTCATTTTGTCTTGTTCCCAAAATAAAAAAGAAACACCAAAGTCATTTTAGGCTATTTGTGCTTTAAGCTTTTGAAAAAAATTAAAATTAAAAGTTTGTTTCTGACTTAATTGTTTAAACTTTAAAGATCTCGTTCATTTTTTTTTTTTAAAGATATGGATTCAATAATTTATATTTATAGTCCCCATGGATTAACATATCATTCATTCCTCTAGATAAATACATAAAATTCTAATTAAATAAAAAGTTTTAAGCAGTTGTACAGACGAAATCTCTGATGCTCACATACAGACATACGCATAAGATCTCCCAGCGGCTCAAATTAAATTTTGTGTATTGCAATTATTATTATCTGAAAACAGATATTACTACAAATGATTTTAAATTAGTAAACGTTATATGTTACTGTTTATGAAGATAATTTCATATCAGACATATATTTGAGTAACCTTGCTCGTTAAATAAAATACTCTATTAATTTGTTCTCTGTAGTTATAATATTTGAAATGTACATGTGACGTAAGAGTCAGTGAGGGTGATATGTATTTTTTAAAAAAATAAGTGAGACTAATAACATTTATTATCGAGATATACTCCGTCACTCTGTCAGCCCTAAATGTAAGACCTATTTTATAGTATATACTACACTGTAAAATAAATTTTATATTTAAAACCGAAAGAGTATAAATATCGCATTACCTGGCCTTTTTTTATCTTTAGTCTGAAGATGCAAACAAAAAGAGAAAATAGATCTCCGGCTTCTTCACCTTGTTTCTCTCTGGGTTCTGGATCCCGGGATTGAACTTGAAACTGATATAGAGAGTGGGCTGTACACACTAGGAAGAGGATTCTCTCCTCTACCTCGCCTTTTTAATCTTCAATTTTTGTTCTGAAGATGCAAGGATCTTCTTTGATACATTTAATACTTTATGAAAAATGCTTACATATAACTGAATTAAGGTAATTATGGTAATTTTGACCATGTTTCATACCAACAAATACATAAAAATACCGCTCAAATTTTATATTTAAAAGAAAAAATTAGATTTATTATTATTGTAAAATGGGGATGTAGGCAAATAATCAAGATCAGCTAAGAATTTTCCCGATGATGCCGCTTTTGTATAACGAATGAATCTGGGGGCTAAAAAGTACATTGTTATTTTCGTTTGTTTTTATTGAATTTATTATAATAATTAAAAGTAATTTTAATTTCATGCAAAAAGAACAGCAAAGAAATTTTGCAGAAACCCATGCAAATTTTTTTTTTATTATGCGTATGTATTCTTTTATTGGAAGAAATCTTATTTGAGGTACTGTAGATATAAGTGTGAGCACCTTTACAACAGAAATTCGAATCTTGGTTTGATACGTTGTTAGAAACTAACGCCTTATATTAAACCCAACCTGTTGATAAGCCACGTGAATTAAATCACATATTATGAAAAACTGTTGGTGATATGTTTTTTCCTTTGAACTGGCGCTTTTGTGTTGGGAACAAGGCCAGAGCTTCTTCGGGACAAAAGCGTGGACGAGTCAGTCTAATTAACTCACATGTTCACAGAGAAGCTTTAGCCTGTGCTGATCTTCTGGGCAAGACTGCACATGTGGCAAGTAGAACTCCTCTATATTTCCACTCCGTCATATCTACTTGTGCAGCTCAATACGCACTGGACAAGAGTTAGACTTCCCTCTAGTCTAGTCTCTTTTTTGTAACAAGCTTTGCATGCCTCTTTCAATTCAAAAGAAAGAAACTCACATATCTAAGTTGTTTGATTATGAAGGACTGAAATTACGTTTTTGAAGAAAACGTGAAAACAAAGGACGTCAAAATGCTTTCGAGATGTGTTTGTACTGTCTGGGCCAATAATAACATAGTACTGTTTAGGCCTCTCTTGGGCCTATGTGGGGACCACTTTTGATTTGAAAAATCTCAAAATTTAACCCAACAATAAAATATTAATTCCAAGCAATATTGATGCTTATATGTAACTATTCACTTGTAATCTTTTATAATTTTTATAGACCTTTAAAATTACATTTTTCTCTATGAAAAATACTCTTTTAATATAAGAATATGATCTAAAAATTTTCATGATTTTTTTTCACCTCTAACTATTTATTTTGAATTTTTCCCAAATAGGCCCTTAATCAGTAGAACTACCGGAAATAAATTCCCCAAAATAATTTCCTATGCTTCTAGAGAGTGAAACCAATTTTATAAATTCCAATAACAATTTAGATCATTATTCCATATTTTTTCAGAATTATTGAGGTCTCTAAATATTTAAAATAATTATTTCTACTCAATTTTTACTATATTTTCCGAAAAACCTTTGTTTTCAGGAAATTCTGTAAATAACTATTTCCATACCATTTTCTCCTCTGTGCCCTCAATTGAAATTCCAAAACCTCTAATTTATCTTTTTACCATTTTACGGGAATTTTTTCAAAATTTTTCCAATTTTTTCCATTTTCTCCTTCCTAGACTGATAATTTCAAAAATATCAGTCTGGAGTCTATTGGGGTTTCACATCAAAAGTTGTTTTGTTCTTATTCTAAGTTTTAACTCCCTATATCAGGGTAAATTTTTCAGGATGTGACAGATAATATATATTTAGGATCAAAAATTGCTTCTAGAAGATGCCCTATAATAAGGATCAAAGGGAGTACAACTTTTTTTTTTTTTAAACACCCTTATTTATAGAGAGGATAAGTAGAAATAATAAGGAAAAAATAGAGATATATATATAATTAATTATGTATAAAAATAAAAAAATGAAATGAATTGAATAATTAAAGAAGTCCACATTAATACTTATAAAAACCCACACCCCTGTTCACCAAAAAAAAAAACACACACACCTTCAAAAGATTTGATGCTTATAGACCAGTCTTGAAGAATTATATAATTTTGCTATTTATTCACAAACATGAATCACAATTACCTAAAAATGCAGATATGATCATCTCTGTGTGTGACTTCTGAATAGTTGTATAGATCAATTCATAATTATATGTATTGAACAAACTATACATGGCAATATTTTAAAAGTTAGATTGAATGTCAAACTGAAAAAAAATAACAAGTCACGATTTGTCCAGTTGAATCGGTTAGATCGGCAATCAAACTGATAATATAATAATTAAATAAAAACTAATATTATATGTTTGTATAATAATATATGTATGAAAATAAAATATTAAGTTATCAAATAATTTAAAAATCAAAGTAAATAGTCCATTTCACGATAAATTAACAAACTCATATGATAATAATGTAGCGCACAACAAATCATGGGTAGTAATATAGTAAAAACACAGATGTTCAATTTTATATTAATTATTTTAGATAAAAAATAAAAATCAATTTAAATTAAATAATTGTAAATAAATCTTAAAAATTTATAAAGCTCAAAATATAAACAGCGAAAAAAAAAATCTGCCTACAGCCTTCAAATGTCTCCAAGACACATCCTCCAGGAATTCTGAATTGATGCTTAAAACTAGAGTTTGTAATGCGGGCTGACGGTGCGGACACGCGCCAGCCACCAGCGATGCAGGCTAGTGGGCTAGCCCGCCGGCAGCCGGCCTGCCTAAATATTTTCTTTAAAAAATTATTATTATTTGTATAAGTTGAGCTTAGTTTAAAATGTTGAAATTGGAGTTGAAGTTTTGAACATAAGTAGTATGTTATAATAAAATAATGTGAGGATTAATTTATAATTTGAGAAGATATTTTAGCAAAACTAACACAAATTTTTTTAAATAATTAATTTGACTATTTTTCATATCCAAATTAATTAAATAGATCTTTTATGTGTGTATTATATATGCAATTACATAAATGAGGCAATGTTAATGTGGAATTTAAGGATCAAAATCCTCCAACTATGTTATATAATATATTAAGAATTGCATAAAAATAAAAATTAAAAAAAAAAGTGGGCTAGCCCACGGCGAAACGGGCTCAAAGCGGTACAAGCTAGAAAAGTCCGTACTTTGGTGAGTTGGCATTTTGCCAACTTGAGCCTGTCATTTTGACAAAACCAAAAATCACCCACAACACACACCGAAAGCCTAGCTTGCTTTAGTCTGTGTGAATGCAAAAGACTTTTTCAAGAGGCATACTTTTAATTAGACAAGATAATGCTCGAATCTGTCCTAGATTATGCTTAATGTAATAATAATGTCATTAAGCCATAATACTATCAGCAAGCCTCATCAAATGTTATATCTTTTTCATAATAAAAGTAAACACGCCATCAATTACAAATTTTTTACATATCAAAGTTTAAATTTCAAAAATTCAATGTGAAAATTTGTCTGCATATATTGCAAACATGACAATCTCCATCCGTAATTTACTGATGTTTATATATGCATAAAATAATTCAATTTGGAGCTGATTTTTTAAAATCTAACATGGAACATCTTAGAGGAAAATGTTAGTTATGCAATGTTATGATTATTAAATAACAAAAAGCCCTTTACTAAACTTTCAAAAAAATTTTGGATCCAAGTTAAAACTAAATTAATATTATGATCCTAATTGAAATATCATTCCCTCATTAAAGTGTTCGGTAGTCATAAATGTAGGGGATATTGTTTTATTTATTAATATGGTTTTTTTTCCTTTGTTGGCTCTCCCTGTCTCCCAGCTGATTCTCCAAGTTAACATAGAGTAGACCTATTATATGACAAAATAGGCTTACTTTATGT